ACTTAGCCAAAAAAATTTATACATCACAGAAAAATGGTACGTACCAAAAACAGTTACATCAAGACTCAATATATAAATGAACAAAAGAATCAAAGGTATAAAATGCATTATTCTTCTTACCATTTCAAGGAGGTGAGCAATGTAGGATTTTCAACCCAAGTGGTGATTGACCAAATTATGTGACCTCACTTCAGTCATAATATTGCACACGGTCTTCAAAATAGACAACTTAGTGATATTAATAAAAAATATATTTACCATATCCTACAAAAGATGAAAGAATATAAATGCTAAGCACTAGTAATGAACAAAGGATATAAGAATTTACAAGCATTTCAACTAAATATTACTATATGCATTAAACAAGGACATGCAAATATGCACCAAATAATTTCATTAAAAAACCACTATACATATTATACAAACAACCCCCCATGAGCCTTTTTGAATATGCAATAATTTATAACCAATTGTGGTTAATCATACACACACGTATACAAAATATTTTTGTGCAAAAAAATGTCGTTCACAAGGTTTTAAAAGGCTAAATGTGCAGTTGGGCATGTGAAGAATCATGAATATGATTGATATTAGATTTATTGTCATCCAACAGTTTAGAAGAAAGTAAACAACATAGGTGTCTATGCAAATAAAAATCAATAAAAGAAAATAAAGCCATTAAAAAAAGAAATGAAAAAAAAAACATTGTTATATTAGATTTAGAATAATAAGGAATAACCTGTGAAGCTTAAGCCTTGAGGCAAAATCTGTACATCTTACCTAAAGGCCATTTAAAATAATGGCAGTTAATTATTTCTATAAATTGAAATACAAGCAAAAATACCAGAACTAGAGTCACCACTAGTTGATATATATGTCAATGCCACCTTATTAGTACTTGACTTATCAGAGACGTCTTCCTCAAACAAATCATTGATGAATTAGCCATTCAGTTCTTGTGAAGCTCTACATTGTGAAATATCAAGAGGTCTTTTCTACAACACTTAGTGCAACATCATTTCTAACACAATCCATATTTTCATCATTTAGGCTATTTTTTTTTCCAGTGTGAACTTCATTGATGGAGTTTCAACACCGATGGATTTAAAATTTAGTGAACCATTGGAACATTTTTAAATTTGATAATCGATGTAAAAGTACGCCAATAAAGTCATTGTATTATCTACATCGATTATCGATGTAAAACTCAACCAATGGGGAGGCTTAACCTTACACTGAAAATAAATGCGTGGAAATATGGACCAGGAGTGGAGTTTTACACCAGTCTGTATTTATCTTAAAAGCAAACGTGGACAAATGCGAACTGATGGTGATGTTTTACGTCGATTCACATTTACACCGAAAACAAATGCAACCTTATGAAAATATTTTCCTTAACCTGGATAAACACAATAGGTGCACCATCCCTATATGCAACACCCCCTTTAGTCTCTGTACTATGCTTACATCAAATAAATCATGGGGATTTGTGTTGTTCATTATATGCTACCCTTTGTTCAAATCATCCTACATATAGAATACCTGTTGAATGTGATTTGCAAGCACAAATGGCTCATCATCCTCCCTCTCACCCATCCGACACAATCTCCCAAAGTTAACCAAAGTGTATCCCTAGTTATCTTTTTTAATTCCTATCTAATGATTAACTCAATCACATTGAAACAATACAAAGTTGACATCCTTCGTGTACCTCAACTTAATTATCCCTATGATCCTCACGTAAACCTAGTATCAACATCATTGAAATATATGGAGCAAAATGTCATTCACTCCTCCACTAGATACCCTTTTGAGATAGACCCCTCTAAGTATGTTTTATTCCACACAAGCCTTTTATACCTATTGAGCACCTTTTAGAGGTAGACATGTGCGAGCTCTGGAAAGCTCATGGTTTGTTCAAACAATAGGAGTCACCACCCATTTTTCTAAGGAAACGTGCCCTCTTTTTTAGTTTTGAAAAATCAATTTACCTTCAAAACAATGACTCCATTCTCCATGGGAAAATCCTTTGAAGTATTCTCCCAAGCGATTCTATTCACTTTAGAGCTTGATATTAGTTCTAAGATGCTTACCTTTATTTTCTATTCAGTGTCAACCCCCAAAACTCAAGCCTTGCTCTATATTTATAGAGGTGTTTGGCTCGAAACCTTTTTGTTGTTTCTTTGGGAAGATGATTTTACTATATCAAACTTGAATTTCTTTTTAGTTTTTGGTTTATTTTAATGTGTAATACAATTAATTAACTACACATGTAAGGGCCTCCACCTCTACATTCGATATAACAAAATGAAAAAACAACTACTTAGCATATCATTTAATTCAAGCATATCCATGAATTGGAATATATCAGTGCTTTAACCATGCTTTTACCAATAGGGAAGGTGACAATGATGGTAACACGTTGGAAAGGAACTTTGTGTTATTGGTGACAATTAACAAAAGCTTTTGATGGTGGAAATGTTAGTAGTGGCACACATTTTTCTTTAAGAGGCGGGACTACCTCTTTCATAACAAGGTTTTTCTAAAGGGTATTTTGGGGTGATTTTTGTGTAAAGGATATTTTGGTATTTTTAAAAGAATTTGAATTTTATGTTCTGTCACATGACAAACAGGAATAACCAACAAATTAACATAAGATTTATATCAAATAATGACACCTAAAAAGGTGAATCAAAATCATTTTATAAAACTTAAGAATCCAATGCGTAAATCACTTTGTTATGGTTGATATTCATAATGTTTTCTCTCACTTCTAAATTTTATCAAACCCTCTTACTATATGGGCTGAATAGTTTTAGTCTTAGGGGGCATTTGATAACTCTTTTCAGATGTTCGGTGTTTGAAAAACTTGCTTTTCAGACACCAGAGCCATTTGGTGTTACTTCTGAAAATGGGTCTGAATCTCATTTTCAGATCTGAATTTTAAAGATCATGGGCAGGCTCTTAGCACATTCAGATGCGTTTTAGAGCGAGTCGAAAGTTGAAAATACCCCCAAGAAACATGGAAATGACATGATTTTGCTCATGTTAACCCCAAAACCTCACATTTTCCTCCACTTGCGTTTTCTCTTTTGAGGAGGATCCTCACTACTACCACTCATCCCGACTAAAGATTGCTGCTCGTCTCGTCGAAGGTATCCTCCTCCTCTTCCTCCTCTTCTTCTTCTTCTTGTTATTCTTCTTCTTCTACAAATGGTTGTTCATAGGGTTTAGATATTCTTCTTCAAACGACTCTTTATGTTTAACAAACACTGGCTTACATTTATTCTAATCTTTATGTTTATTTTGATTTTGATTCTAATCTTTATGTTTACAATTGTTCTTCTTCAAATGGCTGCACTTCAAACAACTCTTTATGCTTATTTTGATTTTGATTTGTTTAATTATAGTTGTTATAATCTCCAAACCATTGATGAATTTGGTTATCATTTTTGTGGTTGTATGTTTCTGGTTTTTTCATTCATCATAACTCACACCATGAACTCCAAGCTCAACCCAACTGCAAACCACTTTTTCATTTGAAATCCATCTTATCTATTACATTTAGGTGTAAAATACATATGCATATTGTTCTAGAAAATCCCATTGGAGTCCTATGAGATGAGTTATCTTTGTTTTGGAAACCAGATTACAGTATAATTTTAATTGTGATCCCAATACCAATTTAAATGAATTATCGAACCACTAACTTATTGATTTTAGGCAAGTGATTATTGGACTACAGAAATCGAAGACAACCACTCATTGGATAGTCCTAGAACTCTTGGATTGAGGAGCTATCTTTGTTTCTAATTATAGGTCCAAGGAGATTGCAATAGAGAAAACTTGGGATTGTGGAGCTATCTTTTTTTATTCATTAATTATTTTTTAATTTTAATTGTGTTATTTTTAATATTTAATTATTTTAAATTTTATTAAGTATTAATTAGTTTAATATTTTTTATTAGTCATCAATTATTTTTAATAATTTTAATTATGTTATTTATTATTTTATTATTTTTATTTATATTATTTCAATATCATTTCAAATTTCATAAATTATTTGATATGAAATAGTGCAAATTGAACTCAAAATTATAAAATAGTCTATTATGGGGGTAAAATAGTAATATTAGAGAATTTTAGATGATGAATGGTTGATCCAACACAAACAACCTTATCTATTCAGAGCATTTAAAAACTAGAAAAGCATCATAGCTCTTTTTAGATTTCATACACTTAATATCTTTTTAATTTTTCAGATTTCAAATTTCAAATTTATCAAATGCCATCTTAATTGGGCTGTTTGTTTCCTCTTAACTCTTATGTCTTAAGAGGAATCTTACAACTTTTTATTTTCCAATGATACCCTAGAAACACAAACAAAATTCTCATATATGTGGTTAAAATGGATTTTTGACATTTTTCAAAATTCAGAATTTAGATCAACATTCTCTACATTTAGAGGTTTTTGTTTAAGGTATTCGGTTTTATGCACCATTAATAACTTTCTCTTGATCCCTTTTTCCCCAAACTGCTGGTTGCGGGATTTGATTCTACGTCAATGCTAGAACAAACCAGCTAATACACCAATCAACCAGCCCTCTATTGATATAGAGTTTAGAAGAAAGAAAAGTTCACCAATACCAATTTACCTCTTAATGTAATTATTGCACTTTAAGACATCAGACATTGGAGCAAACAAATAGTATTCTTATAAGTTGGATTCCATCCATCAACTATCATTAATTTCTACATGCTACCTTGCATTGCACAGGTTTTTTGCTACTTTTCCATTGTATTGAGCTAAAAACACAGTGCAATCATGGCCTGTGCGGTTGTGCCCTCACTTTTGTTAATTCAATACAAGGTGGGGGCCGGCCACATTATCAATTAAAACATCGAGGATTGTGATCGACGGTTTTAGCCCAGGCCACTCCACCAGGAGTATTCAAACTATGGTTTTCTCATACCCCACATGAAGCAGGAACACTGCAACATTCTAATTTAATTTCAAGTTGATCCTCCCTCCGTTAATGATGTGAAATACACACAAGCAATACATATCTGTAGATAATAGGCGAAGGTTGACATATAGCTAGATAGCAAAAACACACACACACTTCATACAAGGCTGGAGAGAGATATATATTAGTACTACTAGTCATATATATGAAATTCTAGTTGGGAAACAAGGCAATGGTATCATCTGGAAGGAAGTGGCAAATAGGAACTCCCCCCGGCTTAATGTTAAGCAATTTGAAGGCTATGTGGTCAGGGCTGAAATCCTTAGTGTCAGTGTGGCACACAGCGATGGCCTTTGCTTTTGTCCCATCAGCAGCGACCAATGGAACCACGTACGACCTTGTGGAACGTATCACATGGCAGTAGTAGACAGCGTATGGGTATGTCATGCCATGGCAAACAACTGGGTTTCCAGTCATTTTCTTGATGCCTGAAGAGATGATGAACTGCTTCTTCTTCTTCCCATTATAATTCTCTCCATATTCAAATTCCGTCGTCACGGCCTTGATGTTCTTCCCCAGCTTTGAAATGCTGAAGTCTATCATCGACTCTAATGATGTTGCACAGCGCTTTGCTTCTATCTCATCTCCTGGCCTCTCGCAAGACATGATTGTCTCCTTCATGGCCTCTGCTTCTATTGATCTGTCATTCACTGAGAACCGATGTAAGATGTCTGGTAATTTGTTTGAGGAGAAAGGAATTGAATCGGCCACTTGGCGGGATAAGAGGATAGCTCCTCTATGGTCTCCTGATAGCTCCGAAGTCTCCAAAGTCATCTTTCTGCCTGGATGCAAGTTTTCCTCTAAGAAGTAGTAATCAACATCTTTAGGATCAACATTATTATTCTTCAGTTGTTTCTTATTTTGAAAACCTGCTATTCCCTGCTTCTTCTTCGCAGAACCCCATTTATGAAATTTATTCCAATTTATGTTAACGGAACTAGGAACTACAGTCATCTTTCCAAGATTTCGCAGCTGACCAGAATTTACAAAGGCACCTGATTTGAATTCAGATAATTCAGATGTGCAAATATTCAAAATAAAGAACACGTTAACAAGAAAATGTCCAATATAGTAAAAAACTAGGTTAATTAATAGAAAAGCCATTAGATTAATTGTGGACAAACCAGATGTTAATTGATGCTGAACCAATTTTGGCATTGGAGTACTGGGTAGCATTGATTTCCAGTAAATCTCAGAAGGTAGAGCAGCATCACTTGATACAGCTACTGCAAGTACAAGCTGCAAAAAAGTTTTTCTTAAATTAATACTTATACAGAAGTCTCTCCAATTTCTTTCTTGCTGAAGTTAGTAATAAATTACAAGCACAGCACTAATTAAAGCACACAACAAGAAAACAAGGAAAAGATCACATGGGAAGAATTCAACAAAGATGAGAAATGCTTTAATTACCAGAAAAGATGTCAAAATGTTTGGAAAACAAAGCTCCATTGGAAGGCTAGCTTGGAGAAATCGGATAAAGAAGAGATGGGCAGTGAGAGAAGCTCTCGTAAAGCTAGCCACCAACCTTACATGAGAGATAAGCGAATGAAGTGAGTGTAATTTATAATAGCATAATCGTTAGAGAAATGACATAACGTGTACAGTAGAGGTAGGCGGCTGGTTCATGCATGAAGGAGATATATCAATCAATTATTGATAAACAACAGCAGAGGTAGGCGGGGGCGGCTAGTTCATGAATAAAATCTCATACTAAGATTTTATTCTGGTTATATATAAAATTTAGGGCCATTTAGTAAAACATCTCCTGTAGTTTCATGAATTCACTAAAACTTACCCTATAGTTTGTGTTTTACTAAAACACCTCCCATAATTTGATTTGTGATCAGTTTAGTTAATCAATTTTCTATGAGATGAAAGTAAAAAATGACAGTTTTAATCCTAACATCCATTCAAATAGATTTAATCAAAAGAAACTTTGCTTTCAGTAAAACATGGACAACTATTCTATTTTTCTCTATTTGATCAATTTTGTTTTCTATACAAAAGGTTAGTTTTGGAATAAACGACCATAAATCTATACCCTTGAACATTTTTCACTCAGTTTAAGGGTACCTTTGGAATAAACAACCATGGGTTCATGCACTTGAACATTTTCCACTTAGTCTAGATTATCATGTTACTATTGTCAGATGACAAAACAGATTGTTCTTATTAAAATGTCGGTTAAATTAATAAATTGCAAACTATAAGGGATGTTTTAGTAAAATACAAATTATAGAATAAGTTTAAGTAAACTTGTGTAAATATAAGGGCTGAATTTTGGAAAACAAAATAACAAAGGGCAAGTTGTGGTGGTGGACCTAAATTAAGCATGTGCCTGCTCACTTTTGGGTGTATAGTGGAACTGAAAGGTTCTTTGCTTCTACATTATTATTTTGATGTTCCCTTGTGACGAGCCCCCAATGAAATAGACAGCCGTAGTTTTTAGATAAAAGGGAACCAGTTGATGTTATGTGTTGGGGTAAATGACAAATATTGAGGGTTTTTATATTTCAGTTCACTCCAGAAATCTGAGGTGGATTACAGTCTACTTATCCCTTTTTTGACTAAAATATGTATTTGCAGCGTCATGTTAATTTTGGAATAAAGCTTATGGGCCTACGGGGCAGATGTTACTGGTTTAATTTGTTCAAATTCGGCGTCAGTCAGTGCAAGTTGATGCTCCATTCAAACACCCCTTTACAGTCTTGCATTGAGAATATTGGAATGGGTGTTGCAATGACTGAAGCCGATCTCAGTTTGTTCAGATATATATATATTATTTATTTCCCCTCATTTTATGGTATTTAGTTGATATTTCTGAATCTGGTGGTTCATGCTATTTCTCTTCTGGGAAGGATTCTGTCGTTTCCGAGACTTGATATATGTCTTTAAAGTTGCAAATTCATTGGGATTTAGATGTTCAAAAATGATTAATATACAATATCGATTAGAAACTAAGAGAAGTCCTGGAGATTGCAGTCCTTGAAAAGGATAAAAAGCGAGACCAGGAACATTACAAACATCAATAACAGGAAAAGAGCCCAAGGAAGGGCTGAATTTGGAGATACAGACATACAGTGGGTTGTCCCTGCCTGCTTAATTAGCAAGTCGATTCACATGCTGAATAACAACCCCAGGGAAATGGCTATGAAGAATAAGGTTTTTAAAACCGACCCGGAGATTGAATGGGTTAGGGGTCTAGTTTCCGGGTCGAACAATCCGATTGTTCAAATCGAATGGCTGGCCCGTTCTAACAAAAAATTTAAAAATTTAAAAAAATCAAAACCATTACACGGTTCAAATAGTTCAATCACTTGGGTCAACGGTTTGTTGACCAAATCAACATTTTTTAACCAAAACCTGGTTTTGACGAAAAATGGAACCTGATGGTGCGCGACCTGGTCACTCCTAGCTGGAAGGGGCTGCACTCCTAGTTGGCGACGGACAAGACCTATGAGGAAGAAGACGAAGGGAACTCGGGGAGCTCACCCGGCGGGAACACTCCGATGCTTAAGTTAGTATCTGAGAGAGAGTAACAGAGCAATTAAAGAGCTTAGAGTGAGGGTCACGCAATTACCTTTGCCCTTGAGGGTCGGAACCCTTATATACTGATATCCTGACAAGTTAGGTACAACCACCACTGATTCTCTACTGCAGCCGTTATTTGCCAAAGTTGAGCTGGTGGGTGCAGGTAGCCGTTGCAAAGTACGGCCCTGCCAGACGAGTGTCATCCCACAGGTTTGGTAGGCACGACGCCGCCTGGCGAGAGACATGGGCGCAGACTCCAGATTTGGCGGGTATGGATGTCAAGCAGGAAATCTTCCTGCGATATGCCGAGTTGCTCCGTAGCGAGCTAACGAGCTGCCTTGTGCCGAGCTGCCTTGTGCCGAGCTGCTTCTACCCGAGGAGGGCCTTCGAGGTGGCCTACTTAAGTTTGGACGGGCGAATTTATTCTAACTTAGGAAGCTGGCGAGCTTAACCCGAAGTGCCTTCAGCTCGGGACACTCCCGACTTGGGAGAATCTTAGCTCGGGGTAACAGAGTATTATCTTGTAGCGAGCTGCCACGTTGGATCTCAGTGGACTAGTCACGCTGAGTTGTCACTTATGTTGAGTCATGTCCACGTGTCCCCCTATTATGAGGTCGGGCTGAATCACCCTCCATCAATTGCCCCCCACTCTCCGTGCTAGGGGTCCTGACCTAGTGCAGGGAGTTCACGACGTGATGGGTGGATTTGGCTCGAGGTTCAGGCCGTCCAGTCAGATAGTTCATCAGTTGGACCAGTTTGCTGCTCGGCTCAATCAAAGATAACCCGGGTCGCGTACGGTTCACGTGCGGACGTCATGCGATCTATAGACTCCGTGGATGCCAAAAAATATGCTAAACTGATTTTACCTCGAGGGTCGTGCAGCCGATTTTCTTGAGAGCCGTTAGATCGTCTTGATCTCAACTGTTGATTCCCGAACATTGCGGCTATAAATAGGGGAGGACCCCTGTCATTTTCTCCGCCATAAGTTCACTAGCGTTCATCTTGAGGTCGCGGCTAAGTGCCTCAACTTGGGTTTTCCAGTTCGTCAGTCTCCCTAGTTCGGTTGTCTTCCCTTGGTGAGTCTCCTTAGGCTCTCCTTTTCAGTTTGTAGTTCGCTTCTCCTTAGTTTATTTTCAGTTTCGTAGCTATGTCAAACCATAGCGTCGATAGTCTCTTAGACGAGCTCGAGGTGGGTACCTCGGCTCAAGTAGGTGCCTTCGAGGTACAGTCCACCTACAAGGCGCGGGAGGCCTCGGATAACTCGACGTCCACCTCTCATCGAGGTCGGATACCGAACAAGTTCAGCCCTTCTACTATGACCGTAGACAGACTTAGGGCCCTGATAGCTCGGTATAACCTTCCTAGGGAGTATACCTATAGCCTTCCTACGGGCAACTTCCCTTGGGAACACGGTCACGATGAGATCGTGATTTTTGGGGAACATCTCACGGCTGGACTCCGACTTCCACTGCATCCCCCTGATTGTAGAAGTGCTAAAACACTTCGATGTCACTATGAATCAACTCCACCCGAACTCTGCCCAGAACGTGGTCGGGACAATTTCCCTTTGATTCTACTACGCCCTGCCTCTTGATCTTGACATTTTCTCCTCCATCCTCTCCATAAAGAAGAATGCCTCTAGCGTTCTCCCCGAGCACAGGCGGACCTACTACTTGTCCCCTCGCCTGGGCTACAAGCTATTACATGAGTTCCCCAACAAAATCCCGGTTTGGAAACGGGATTATTTTGTAGTTCGCAACCCTGCGGGGCTGCCCTTCCCTTCTCACTAGAGGGTGGCCATCCAGGACTCCGGCATTAGGTTGGACCAGGATACAAGGGAGACGCTCCAGTCTTGAGCGGAGCTCGGCTTCAACTACAAGGACTTCATCGCTGAGGATAAGCTCATACAGGGCAGCCTGAGTCCTGGTAGGTCGCCTCGTTTAGAGTTAGTATTTTATTTCAGTAGCTAGTATTTTCTTCTTGGTAGCACCACTGATGTCGAGCTTCGTTGTAGGACCCATGGAGCAACTTAGCGCGGAAAGGCTCTTTGGAAAGATGAAGGGGAAGAAGAAGTGAGCTGCTAAGAGAGCTTGCGTTGAATCTCCATGGACTCCTACGCCCGAGCCCAAATAGCTTGTTGGTGCTCCTCCGGTGATTGACTTGGAGGAGTCGGAGAACCCCCCACCTCCAGAGCCCAAGACGACTGCGGAGCCCGCTCTTGAGACAGCCGTCACCACATCGGGGAGCGAAGGAGCAACCCGGAGCGTCCTGAACCCGCAGTACAGCCTTCGGAAAAGCAAAGGGGCTATATGTGCCGAGGAGGTCTTTAATTGGTCTGAGCTGACGCCTATGCAGCTCAGAGATCGAGCCGCTACCCACTTTATGGTGGTAAGTCCTGTTCTACTTCGTTTTTTTTTAGCCCTGTCGGTACTAACTTATATTCTTGGTAGGTGAACTCCGCCGTGCACGCCCTGACCTACCAGTCCGAGCAGCACCTGAAACGGGCCCTGGCTGCCGAAGACTCAGCCCGCGAGGCTCACACCAACCTGGAGCTAGCTCGCGGTCAGATCCACCGGTTGGAGAGCGATGCCATAGCTCAGAAGAACTACATTCAAGTGTTGATGTCGGAGAAGGAGGGGTAGCTGTGCGAGAAGGAGGAGTTGCTACGCAAGGTGAAAAACCTTGAGCCGGATAAGGGGACTCTGGAGTGCCAGGTAGAGAACCTCGAGGCCGACGTCAAGGAGCGAACTGGCATCCATCCTCCTTAACGCTATGGAGGTGGCCAAGGTCAAAGTTGCCGAAGACTACAAGAAGTCGGAGGAGTTCGATGGGATGTTGGTGGAGGCCTACCGCAAAGGCTTCAAGCTCAGCAGGTGGCTGATAAAGCACGAGTTCCCGCTGCTCGAAGTAAGCGCCATCACCACCTTGCGAATCACAGGAGAGGTTGCCCGCCAAGCCGCCGAAGACCCAGACTTTGAGGAAGAGGGTGATGATGTTGAAGAGGCCAATGCCACCGAC